GGCGAACCACTGACACTTACAAGATTTCATCCCCACGAAATAAATTATCTGAATGCAAAAATTTATATTAATTAAAGAGAATAAAACTATTTACTCTGTATCATTCATTGAGAAATTCATCAATATTTTTCCCACTGTGTATGCATAAATGAATGCATGCCTCTGCATGCCACTCGCTGTTTCTTTAAGCTTGACACTGTGATGAACTCGTAACTGACAAGACCAGTTGATGGTGTCAATTTATTAATTGAATAATCTATTAGCATCGATTATATGATGTTTCATTCTTTTTAAAAAAAAAAAAAAGAAATAATTTTTTTTACAGACAGTTCAATCAAGAGATTTGTTTTAGTTTATTTATTCAAGTATCAAGTGAAAATTCCTCTGTTCAAAACACAAGAGGAGGTTTGTCACTGCGGTTATGTACGTCTTGTTGAAGAGTTGTCACACAGACAGATAATTGCCGAGCAGAATGAATGTCCTTGCAGTCGTCCTTAGAATGGAGACTGTTTTTTTTTATAAGAAGCATAATACTGACTGTACATCGGTTTTAAAAGAAGGGCACGACCTATGATTTTCAATTGACAGAGGGCATTTTCTAACATAGGGGAAAGAAATTAAAATAATTAAATAACATTTGTAAAGCTAGACAATTTTTTAGTAATGTATGCAGGTGATAGAAGGGGAAGACGACCTACCTTTAATGACAGAGCAACTTGAAAGTATCTTTTGGTGAGAAAGTTACGTATCGTAGGAGCCACTCTGTGATATCGAACACTGAATATGGATTACTGCGAAAGAAAACACACCACATGTCCATTAGCGTAATTGTGGCATTATGAAATGCTACTAAGTACTCCCTTAACTTGTAATTGTTCCTGGCCAATCACAAACTGGGGCACAGTTCATTGGGAATCATTATTGGGTGGACCACACTGCATTGTGGGTATTGTATAATGTGAACAAATCATTGAGATAAGACATGATGGAGAGCAAATGAAAAGTTGTCTGCTGACTTTTAAAAAACTACTATTGAGAACACATGTGTTAGAATACTGTAGAATACTTTATTTTTGCTGGAATTAATTTTCGCTGAAAAGACATTTTGTGTGTTTTCTATGGAATTTATTTTCACTGATTTTTGACAAGTTGAATGTTAAATATAGGAAAAAAGGTATATTCACTGGATTTTATGTTCATTGAATCATTCCTACAGCGAAAATTAATTCCAAGCGAAAACAAAGTATTTTACAGGAGTAAACATTCGCACCATAGTGTAGAGGTCTGATTAATGTTTTCTTCTCTTCAACACTGAGAAAGGTCTGATGTGTCTTGCAATTTTGCAATTAATTTTAAACTTCATTTCGACCGTCACTGCGCATATAAATTCAATTTATAAAATATTGTGTGATACGCTAGACATGAACTAATGGATGGTCAGTAAATGGATATGTATTACTCTCACTACAAAGAACCAAATCAGCTTATGCTAAAATACATGTACACAGGATGACGGAACAATATATTCATGTTAGCCCCTCCCCCTTTTGTCATATATGGTGATAAGCAGAGTCCCCATTGATTTGAACCCCTTTCAGAGCCAGATATTTCTATCACCCAAAAAATTATTACTAATTTTTTTCATATTACTGGACATTACTGACAGTTTCAGATATTTCTTTTAGTTTTTGCTCAAAAAGTTTTTTAATATTCATCAACATTCAATGTAGGAAATAGCAAACAGAACCATTTTGTAAATGGTGCCAAAAGTTGACAGTGGAACTCAAGGAATTATCAAACTTTGAACAAAGTTATCCCAGTCTAGTTTAGCTCAGAGGGAAAAACAACTTTTTTTTTTTAAATGGCAACAACAAATTCTTTCCTGACTTTGAGAAAAAACAAATGTGTAAATTCTGTTAATAATATGTACTGTAATTTTGTGACACATTTCCCAGTTCTATGCTTGGTTCAAGGTCTTACTAGAAAAAAAATCTATAAAACTGAAATCAGGTTCATTTTGGGAAAGGTAGACTTTCTAAGGCGTAATATACACACTGATATATTTTGGCTTGTGCCTGCTGAAGTATTTTTGGTTTAATACACAATATACTATTATATTATTTTGTTAGGTCATTAAAATCTCAAAAGTTCAACTGGTGTTTCCCGGCATAGAACTAACCCACCCAGACAGACAACAATGCCGATACATGCTTACCACACTGAAGCTTCTCCAAAGCTCACAGACACCACCCACACCCACAGGACACAAAGAATGACTGCCAAAAGCAAAGTAATTTAGACACACACATTTAAACAGACATTGATTGCACAATACCATGCAGCACACCCAGAAATTGCTAATGTAGCAGTCCTGAAAAAGAGTTTCCAAACTCTTGACCTAAAAAGAAATCATCCATGAGCTGATCTGAGCAACATGCCCTTGCAAAATCCACTCTTAACAGTATTTAACCAATGAAAAGTGAGGTCATCAAACTTGCAAAACCAAAAAATTGTTAACACAGCCTGCTAGGAAGAGACATTTCTTCCCTTTTCGCAGAGTAATAAAAAAGCAAAAAAAAAAAGATTCAACTAGAATAAATACCTGCGAATGAGAAATTGAAAAACAATAATCGATAAATTACAAGCAATAAGACTGAATAAAAGTGGTGAGAAAGAAAACTAATTTAAAATTAAGATCCTACCTGGCGGCATGCATGGAAGCAAGAAGTGTTACTGAAAACTACTGAAGAAATAAAAAGACTTGCAAAAAGATAGTTAATTATTAACTTTTCCTGTATTGCATCAGGTTTTACTGGCTGACACTTGCATTAATCAAAAATTATTCAAAGTCTTGCTAACAAATATTGCATCATGCACCTAGCATATCTTTTGGCAAAAAAAAAAAACTCATTAAGAAGAAATAATCAAACAGATTGCCATAGATAAATGGATTTGTTTTAATCCGCACGTTTCAGTGAATAATGCATATGTATAGACTGAGATGTGACACATTGATGGATAAATCCTTGTATAATATTGAATAAACTACGAACCATCATCTGATTAACCCGACTTACAGCGATTACGCATTTTTAAAAACCTTGGTGTCACAATAACAACAGATTGCACCAGCAACGAGCAACGAGGAGATTAAAAACAGATAAGAGAAAAACAGAAAAGCGAAACAAATGTGACAAAAAAAAAAAAATTGAAGTTGAAATAGCATTGTTAACATCAGTTGTTTTATGACTGTGAGTTAGAAACTAAATAAGAACACGTTAAAAAGAATTTAAAAATAAGTTCTACAGAAGGCTGTTGGGTATTATACATTTGTAAGCTGCAAGAAAGAAAGACAAATAAGTTTTTGGCAGAAATTACAAGAAAACAGTTATGGAGACGAAGTGTAGTGTAATGGAAAAGATCAGGCAAATGAAATTAAAGTTCAATGACCAGGAAATCGGAGAAGAAAAATGAGTAACTTATTCAAGAAAAAGTAGGGGGGGGGGGGGAGGACGGGTAGGACAACCAAAGAGACATTGAATGGATGACATCATGGATAAGACTAAGCATGCAAATTGCTGCCCGTCCTCAAGACAGAAGCGAATGGAAACGTTGTGCTATGCTTTCGATGTGCCAAGGGCTGTACAGGCTTCACAGATGGTGACATCGATTATTGGACTTAAAACTACTTCCTTAGGGCTTTGGGTTCGTGGGTAGCACCAAACTAGTACACTTTCACACAACAGTAAATTACATATACTGCTGGAGGCTATTACAAAAACCTATTCTGGTGTGGTTACTTTCACCACACTGATTTGTGAATTTATAGCGTATTCTCGTCCACAAGATTTGTCTGTTCAGCACGTGAAAGCAACTTCAGCTTTGACGTCGCGGTACTGTTTGGCATTGCGTCAAAAGGTTCATCATAAATTGATATGAAGTGTTTATCGGCCAAAAGCCAGAAGGGAGCATGGTTTGTGATTAGGGTTGGGGTGTTAGGATCGTCACTGCCATGTTTAGTCTTGCATAAAAGAACCACTGATACGAGCATATCTGACATATTATTCGGTCAATAGTCTCTGACAATAGCCAAAATACTTTTTGAAGAGGGGCACTACCCCCTGTAACAGTAAATGCGAACAATATTTCCATCTCATGTGGTATAATTGTCTGCATTGGTTGGAGTAACAAGAAGATGCATCCAACTGTGACAGATATTGCTGTGTTTAAAGATGGCAAATATCAACGGGAAAAAACTGACTCACTATCACCACAAAATTAACACCATGACGCCACAACGGAAGATCAACCACCATTTTAATATAACATCAAGTCTTGTTATAAACTCAAGTTTACTTGCACCTGAGATACGCAGATACGCTTGTGTGCTAACAATCTAATGTACATTACCACCCTTTGTTTTTCTTTAAGTTTTGGTGCGTTAAAGGAAATCAAAATTACCGGTAGGTCAAATTTTTGCCACTAGAAACGTTTTTGATAGAGTAAGGAAGTTTCTTGGAATGTCATGTGACTTCCTAATCTCCAGGGAAATGTTCAGATACAAAATTTTGTGACATTTATTTTGCAATTTCTTTTGAAAAATTAAATCACTCGTCATCACTAAGTATGAAAATAAGTAATGTACTTTGCCTGCATTCTATACATGGCATGCATCCTATGTCGAACATATCGTCGTACAACAACCCAAAGCTTTACAGTGATTTTGCATTAAATGTTGCTTTATTTTAATGCAGATGGGTGAATGAGCATTTTTGTTTTGTCAAAACATGCTTAGAAATTGATTGAGCTTTATTTTAAATTACCCTGGTCATGCTTTTGATTAATTTACTCTTTATTGTGTATTTAATATCATAACTTTTTGCTTGTCTGTTCCCGTTTCATACAGTTTATTTATTGTACTTTTTGCTTGGTTTTTTTTTTTTTTTTTTGCGCTTGTTTAGTCGTGTAATTATTGCTGTTTCCCAGGGAAAATTAATAAATATCGGGTATTTGCAAAGATTCATGAGATGACCGACTGTATGAAAGTAGTGTGACATGTGATGAAGATTTCGCACACGAGTCTTCGAAAGAACGTTGCCGGTTTTGTGAGTGTTCTTGCTTATTCATCATGAGTGTATGTACAGTAAATACGACCAATCATCTCGCATACTGTAGAATACTTTATTTTCGATTGGAATTTATTTTCGCTATTTTTGCTGAAGGGATGATTCCGTGAAAATAAAATCCAGCGAATATACTTTTTTCCCTATATTTCACATTAAACTCATGAAAAATCAGTGAAAATAAATTCCAAGCAAAACGCCCAAAGAGCCTTTTCAGCGAAAATTAATTCTTTTTTCTTTAAACTCATGTTACTTATAAGTGAATATAAAATATAATTTTTCGGTTACCCTTGTACTAACCAGTTAATAGCTACAATCAGGTCGTCCACTGAATTAGACAAACATCTGAAATACGATGTATGGAACGCTGATCCAAATGACCCTTCACAGAAATCATCAATTTAATCTGACACTGCTTTTATATAAATGAGATTTATTTTTAAAAGGTATGATTTGAGCTGAGAGACCTCTCAGAAACTTAATTCATTGGCACTGAATAGAAAGAGACATTAACCACAAAACCAGAGCAATGGTTTTCGACAGTTGTAAAGTTCACATTAACAGTGCTGTACGGTTTTCATCGTAGTGACAAGGCAAGACATCAAAGGTAGTTTTATAACTGGGATCAAATAAAAATGTCATTCAGACAACTAAATAATAACTCACTT